TTTTTGGTGGCTTAAATGGGGGGAAAAGTGTCCAGTGCTTACCTGATACCCTAGTGGCATTTCAGTGTTCTATGGAGGGAATGAGTTGGGGGACAGTGGGGAGGCTGAGAGATACAACAGCTGCACCTAGAAGAGTCAGCCTTCTCCTGTGACTATGCACCATGAGGCACATACCCAGAAGCCTCAGCAAACCTGGAGGACACCAGGGGCTTACTTTCGGACAGCTACAACAAAGGCCAGCAGATTGCTCTGGGATAAAAGCCCCTCGATTGCATCTTTTCTCCAACCAGGGGAATACCAAGTCCGAGGCAGCCATCTAGCTGCAAGGCGAGTTCGTGGTAATTGGAGTCTGAGTGGGAGTTGTCTAAAAACAGTGAATTTACATCCTTTATGCCCAGCAGTCGACCTCAGGATGATTTTTACCGTGCCTGCTTTTGTGCAGCTAAGCTGGAAAATGTAGATGGTGACAGTCAGGCAGAAAAGGAACAAATTTGCATGTTACTGGGTTGTAAGAGACCTTTGATGGTTGGAGAGGCCTGATAATGCTGTCAAAAGCCTGGCAGCCTGAGCGGCACCTGAAATGCACAAGATCTTCCCTCAGAGTGGCTGACAGCAAAGGGTGCAGGCAGCACGGGATCAAAGAGTTGAGAATATCTCAAGTAAAAATGCTAAAACACAAGGCACAGAAATGCACAGAAAGAAAGACAGTGACCTTGAGTCTACAAACTTTCCCACACTCAGAACCCTAAGATGATGAAGGAGAGGAAATGTGCAGCTCACATACAAGTTTTGGAGCTGGCAAAGGCAGGAGCTGTGAGCTGAAGAAGAGAGTCACCACTACACAGAGAGCTAAAGGCACAGATTAAGATTGAGATCACCGCCTGGCATGGTGGCACATGCCTGTAATCCCAGTGGCTCAAGAGGCTGAAATAGGAGGTTAGTGAGTTCAAAGCCAGCCTTGGCAATAAGCAATTTAGCTAGACCCTGTCTTAAAATAAAACATAAAAAGGCCTGATAATGTGGCTCAGGGATTGAGTGCTCCTGGGTTCGATCCTGGTACCAGAAAAGAAGGGGAAAAAAAAAAAAAGATTGAGATTACATTTCTGTTTTCAAGGTTAATCATTTCCTTGTATAAATAGATCAAGTGACAATAAGCCAACATGTAGGTTGCAGCAAACTTGGCTCCTTGATTCAAAATGGAAGATTTCTGGGACACAAAGATATTTTTTAAGAAAAAAAAAAAAACTGCCAATAATCAAGACAAAGCTTAGCATTTAAAGAAGCAGATGAAAATATTAGAAATGAAACTTAAAATAAGAATGCCAATAATAAATTTGCTGCTTTCCAAATGGAGTCTTCAGCAAAATGTGTCCCATAATTCCTTAAGTAGCAACAGGGAGGAAGTCAGTGGTTCTCCCCGAGGGAAGACTGCCTCTGCAGGCAACCGCGTGTTTTGAATTTGGCCCCCTGCTTTCTCCTCTTACGCAAAATTTCTCAGAATTGGCAAATAAATGATCTGCCCCTGGGTTTCCCCTTCAATCTTTACCCATAAATGTGTCCTAGAAAGGAAAGCTTTACAAAAACCAAATAGAGGCCATGTTTTCCTTATCATCCAAATCCCTCTTTTGTCCACCTAACCTAACTCACAATTGGCACCCAATAAATATTTGCTTTTACCACCATCGTGACAGTAATCCAGATTGGAAGAGTGAATTTCCTCAGTGAAGAATGTTTTCTGATACTGCACACACTCACACCAAACTGAATATGTGTGTGTGTGTATCTGATTTAACCATATATATATATATATCATTCCCAATTCACTGATCCAATATTTGTTCTAAAAACTTTTCAAAAATTTGGCTTCTCCATAAGTTTTTAGGAAAGACGTTTTCCAAATTTCCAGCTACAATACGGTGATGTAAATAATAGTTAAATAAATTATACCTTCTGAGTATTTGCCAAGAATAAAAGAGCTTTGTCCAGCAGGTTGAAAGGTTACCCCAGCTTTTATGGCTTGCTGCAAACATTTACCATTTCAAGATAAATGACAAATGAAATTCTGAGAGCCAGCACTGGAAATTTCTTCCTTCTAAACATTATGCTTTGTCTGTTCTGATTTCTGAATTTAGGGCAAATCTTCCAGTCCTCCCCTATCCCTACTTGGTTGGGCAATTAACCATTGTGGAAGAGAGCAATAAGAACTTGACCACATTGTGCAATTTTCTAATCAAACACAAGAGGGCAGGTTTTGCTTTATGGTAAGCCTAATTCCATCTGCTAGCAATCAAGGTGGTCATTGTGCTAATTGCAAATTCAGAAACACTCAATAACATACAAAGTGAATGAGTATTCATGCTGGGTAACTTTGGCAATGAAAACTCTATTGTTTTAATAAAGCCATGCTGAAGCCTTTCTCTTTAGCCTTATTTACAAGACAGAGAACAATTACACTTAGAAGACACTGTCATAGTTTTAGTGTATGTTTATAAACTGCCATGGGAGAATAGAATGGCTAAAACAAGGAAGGGCCAAATTCCATCATGTTATATCCAAGAAGTCTGACTTCAATGGATGTGGCAAAGAACACAAGTGGGCTATTGGTTTCTACCAGAAAGGTGTAGTACAGGTGAAAATATTCACAGCCTATATGCCAATGTCTGGCTGGGCACAAATGCCGCAGTCTGGCTGGGCACACAATCACAAGCCACCACACAGCTTGTAGATTCAAACAGCAACTCTTTATTCCCGAACTCACACCAGCCGTCTACAATCACGTTCTGGGGAAATCCACGTTCTCTGCCCAAATCCACGTTCTCTGCCCAAATCCACCTTCTCTGCCCAAATCCACGTTCTCTGCCCAAATCCACCTCCACTGGGCTTCTATCTCCAAAATATATTGTCTGAATCCCATGAGAACTCAAGGGGAACTCAGGCAGCAGGATACGCCCTATTCCCAGCAGGAATAATCTTAAACCTTAAACCTGGAACCTAAACTGGGAATGCCCTAAACACGATTATCTTAAAACCGGGAACACCCTAATCTGCCTTGGTCCTTGAGCAAGGTCACTTACATTCAATGTCACTGCAACATGTCAGCAACATGGGGTACGCTGGCAAGGAAATTGTCATACCTACTTGGCTAATGGCTCCCAGCACCTATAGGCCTTGAATAGGCACTTTATGTTTTCATCTGCTTCATTTTGTTTAAGGAAACTTTAACACATTCCAGAGCTTACAATTTTCTAGTGTGTCATTTTCAAGATTTCTGTAAACTACCTGCCAAAACATAATTAAATTCACAGAGGTTATTTTCAGCTTGAACTGCTATTACAGCTGAAGTCCAAGTACACTGGGCCCTCTGCATCTGTGGTTACACTTCAGCATTCCCTAAGGATGGAAACTATTTGGGGAAAAATTACATCTGTACAGAACATGCAGAGTTCTTTTTTCTTGTTGTCATCATTCCCTAAACAATACAGTGTAATAACTATTTCTGTAGCATTTACACTGGACAAGTAACCCAGAAATGATCTCCAGTATACAGCAGGATACCAGAAGTTTATATGCAAATGCTATGCCATTTTGTATAAAGGACTTGAGCATCCTCAGGTTTGAGTATCATGGTGGAAAGGATCCTAGAACGAATCCCCACCCACATACCCAGGGAAAGCTGTCCCAAGTGTTCTTGGAACCAAGTTTTCCAGAGTGATGCTGCTGGGGTCCATCAGTGTGAGAGAGGCCCTGGTTTGCCTGAGTAAATGATTCACCCATTAACTCTCTCCACCTGAAGGACATCAGACAACGGTGGGCCCTAAAGTGACATGCGTAAGAAATTTGGGGAGAAGTTAGTGAAGATCTTAATGTTCTACTCTAGTCCCTCTCAATGGAAAAATCAAGACCTGCCAGTGGTGGGAAGGAGATGCATCCAGAGAGAGAATGAGGCCAAAGTGTCCCCTTGTGTTAGGTCGCATGGAGTGAAATGCCACCCAATGGAAGTACAACTCAAAATCTGAAGGATAAGTGGTTGTTAATTTCATAGCTGGGAAATAAGACTCCACTCTCATGTTTTACCCAGTACACATTAAAACACATGCCAGAGACCCTCAATGAAATGTTCTACTTTGTGACTGGCTCAGGTATCCATTCATTCATTCAAAAATACTTATAGAGTACTCAGGATGTGCAAGGCAGTGTAGAAATAGGAAGACTTAAACCTTGGGATTTGCCATTGCATTGGGCTAGATGATTACCTGTCACTGGGCAGGGGAGGTAACTCTTATGCACCCTGTATCAATTGGTTATTGGAGCTGTACAGTGAAGTGTGCCACTGACCTCCAAGTTCACATGGAGATGTGCAAGTGAACACTGTACAACCATCACCCACTGGCCTCACCTTCCCTTTTCTGGAGGTCTCCAACAGATGGATCGATGGATAAGGCTCACCTGGAGGATCAGCAGTGAGCTGCTCCTGCACCCATCCTCCTTCACCAGTGACTGGAAGCAGCTGCCCACCTCAGGATCAGTCATTCAAATGGGGGATATTGAGCAAAACCCCTCACCTGGGAAAGGCTGCAGTCTCCTTTTTTGACATGAACAGTTGACATCCAGAAAGCAGCCATTGCTCAGAAACTCACCCAAGAAGCAGCATATCAGTTTGGGAACTAATTTTCAGACGTGAAGTCATTATTTTCTATTTTCTACATATTTGTATTTCAATATATGTATGACAAGTGCCCAAAAGATGGAAATTAATCAAAATTTAAAAATTAAACTAAAAAAATAACTTCCAAACAACAAACACAATGTGCAAAACAGCATTTATTTTTATTTTCCTCTTTAATAAGTCTTCTAATACTTGTTAATGTGAGATTAAAATTATTCATTTGAAGTATTATAACTAATAATGTTATATCTTAAGCAAGATACAAATAAACATCAAAATTTTAGACTTAGAAGATAATTCAAAATTCATAAAGGAAACATGTTACAGGATTGCATTTCACTTCTGAATATCACCTTTATAAAAGCATTTCTATTAAAATCATAATTTATATACATATAATTTTCCCAGTACTCAGGATAAGCATATAAAGTGATCTGTTCATTTTCTTCAAGGTTAAATATTTTTCTCCCTCATTGAAAAGTACATTCCTGCAATGCCCAGTGACATTTTCTGAGTTTATTTGCATAATATTCAATGTAAGTTAACCCCAACTTTTTATTCTGTAAGTTTATCCTACCTTTAGAGTAGTTAAAATGCATTCTTAACTGATTTGCTGTAAGATTAGAAAATGTTACAAAATTTTATTCCTCTTCTATGAACTACAAAATTAGGAAATTATTTCTTTCAGGAAGACTTTATAAAACATAATATTTATAGAAAGTTGCACAAGTGTAATTTGATTACTATTTATCTCTACCTCAAGTAGGTCTTTCTTTAATTGAATCTTATGAAAATATGATGTATGAACATTCTGATATACCTGAAAGATAAACTAGAGATGGTTATTTGCTTTATAGAATTATTCATACTAGTTCATCTATAAAAATGTGATTTTCCTGGGTGTTTTTAACATATAATTGATTTATATAGAACTTTTCAGGAACATATCTTCCATGTACAATTATATCTTTATTTAATGTATTTCCTTTTTTGTTGTTGTTTAAAAGCAGGAGGTAAAAATGTGTTCCCCAACAATCCTGAGTCAGAGCATAAACTTTCCAGAAAGGACCATATGAACAATGCATGGCCATGTTTTCCATGAATACTGTTAATAGCAGAAATCGGATCTACACATGTGGCACTGTGACTAAAAAGCTCAATCTACAAAGGACACCAGGTTACCTGGGTTGTTATTGCTGAGCCTACTCTCAGATACACCTGTAACTTTATGAGATTCACCTTCAAATTCGGTAGCAACGGAGTATTGTCCATTTCTCTGGCTTTAGAATTCACTCCAGAGTAAAATGCTGGTTCTTTGAATCTTCTCCCTTCTTGGTCCCCCAATATGTGGAAGACAGCTTCATGGTCATTGTAACAGAGGGGCAACAAGCCAACAGAAGAGCCAGGCTCTAGAACTTCAGCCCCACTCCTGAGGAGGCACAGACACCAAGAGCAGATGAATTTGCTTTGAAATCTCAATAACCATTAACTTCTCAGAAGTGGGGAACATCAGGATAAGTCTGAACATCATAGAAAAAAAGGCCTCATTCTTATTTCTCATGATCTGATAATTACTTAGAAGAACATAGTCACTTAATTCTAAATTGTTGTATTTAAAACAGATGGTTTGCTTCTGAACAATAAGACTTCATTGATTAGTATTCATGAGTTACTATCAGTACAGCGCAACATTAATGAATCTAGAGTCAACTCTTAAAAAATAAGCCTAATGCATTACATGTAAAAAAAAAAATTTCATTGGAAGTTACCTAGCAAAGGAATTGGTTGAGGATAAGACAAAGGAGACCTGAGAGTAATGGGACACCAATCAAATTGTCTCACTCTTGGGATTATAGCCTCACCAGGCTTCTCCAGTCAGCCTTCCCTGGAAAGAGTGATTCCATCCTTGTTAATAGGTTTAGAACAGCATGCTAATTAACAAGGAAGCACTATAATTTTATTCCCTTATCTGTTTACTTATCACTATAGCATCGATGTTTATCCAGCTATAGAATCTTATAGTAAGTCCATGATTAAGAAATGCACATTTTTAATACATTCTGTAAAGTCTAATGTATAAAGAAAACTGACTTAATCATTATTCATTCTTTGGAAAATAAGATTTATTTTCATCTTTAACACTGGAGAGGAAAAGAGAGAGAAAAGAAAAAAAAAAGATGCCCAAGGAAGACAGACAGGAGGGAATCTAAAGCATCGCTTGAATTAAAAGGGACCTTGGAGATTCATCTCGTACCTGCAGCCCTGCTATGCTTTGAATGTGGTTGGAGTGTCCCCACAAGGCTTCATGTTGACATGCAGTCCCTATTGTGAGGTATTAAGAGAGTGGAAACAATTCAAGTCTGATGTTTAGAAGTAGAGCCCTTGGGAAGCAATTAGAATTAGATGTGACCACGGGGGCACCCCATGACTGAGTCCTAGAGATTCTAAAAGAAGGGAGAGAGAATACATAGACACGCTTACACAGGTGTGTTCCTTGTCTCTTGCCATGCACTTCCAGGGGACTCCACCAACAATAAGGCCCTCACCAAATGTAGCCCCTGAATCTTGCACCTAGAGAACTGTGAGCCAAATAAAACTCTTTTCTCTATAAAGTTAGCCTGCCTTGGGTATTCTAGGATAATAATGAAAAGCTAATTGATACACACTTCTCACCTCCATGCCAAAGACACTTGATCTAAGCAAAATGTAACTACGATCTTGTCCAGGTCTCAAATTACACTGCATATTTCGATAAATCCGCTTAATGATTTCACTTATTTATTTTGGGGGGCTTTCTATTTGGAGAATTCTTATCAGATACCACAAACTGTCAACTCTACCTCAATTTAACAATAGAGATAGGACCCAAGCACTTTAGCTGCAGTTTGTTAAATAAAGCAAACCAGAATCTTTAGCTAAACATCTTCTGTACTGGGGATGATATCACTAGAGGGGAAGCTATGCCAGAGATCTTCAACTAAAGAACAGTGAAGACTTGTCCTATTATTTTAAAGGTCAGAATGCCAACTCTTCTTTAGGGTAGAGTCTGAGCCTCCTAAGCGCCTTCTGTGTATCTCTTGTTGCTTAGATGAGTCTCCATCAAGGGTGTGTATCCTTTTCGAAGCCTTCGGTATTGAAGGTACATCAGCAGCACAAAAAGACCCACCATAGCCAGCAGCAGCCCTGAAACCACTAAGAGTGTTGGGCTCCAACCTGGAGTTTCTTCCACTGAAATTAAAGCAGAAGAGAAAGTTCCACAATCAGGATTTCCATCAGCTGAATATTCTCAGAAAAGGGAAGAATAAACTTATTTGTCTATCACATGCATTTTCATTGATAAAGCAAAACTACCCTTGCAGAATGGAATTTATGTTCTCTTTCCTCACCAACTGTTCATCATAGCCACAGTTGTTTTCTCCAGGAAGTTGGAAAGGGCACCTCATTATTTAAATACAACTTACTACATTTTTAAAAATTGTTACAATAAGTGCTTTTGTGCAGATAAACCCTCTAAGGAAGTATACAACTATTTTATAAGTTAGAAACTTATTTGTGAAAATGCATGCTAAAATGGTATCTGGGGAATTACAACCCCTAATTATGCAACCATCAGGTAGGACTATCTGCTTTTGTCTCTGCCTTTTTTATAGATGATAAATGTGAAAGGGATCAGACTGGCTCTTAAAACAAGAGACATTCAATAGCAGAATTAGATAGATCTGTAACCCATTAAAATAGTTGTAAAATCTGAATGTTCCACATGGTAAATATAACCCTCTACTCACATATATTGTATAAGCACCCTTCCACAAAATTAGTGATTTTATTTTTAATATATTTAGAACTATTTGTCATTTCTTCAAAAAAATATCCTTTCCACTATCAGCTCTTCTAAAAATTCTGTACCTTGTTCTATACCCTACACCCTTATAAACATAATATTACCTTCCCTGTTCTTTTCATAGAGGCCAAGACCCATCCTGACCAGATTCCTCTGTTGTTGTTGTTGTTATTATTATTATTATTCCATTCCTCCTCCCCCTCCTCCTCTTCCTCTTCTTCCCCCCCACCCCATGTTTTTTGTACTGGGGACTGAACCAAGGGTTGCTGAACCACTGAGCCACATCCCCAGTCCTTTTTTTCAGTTTTATTTTGAGACACGGTCTCTCTAAGTCCTTAGGGCCTTGCTGAATTGCTGAGGTTGGTTTCAAACTCAATCCTCCTGCCTCAGCCTCCCAAGTTACTGGGATTATAGGTGAGCATCACCATCTTACATCTTCTTAAAACAGATTTTTATTCTGCCATTTCTTTATTAAGGCACCCAAAATGATTGCCTTTTAGTATTGTCCAAATCCTCTGCCTAGCTTTTATAGTGATCTTTTTTTTTAATTGTGTTGGAATACACACATAAAATTTTACCATGTTAACCACTTTTTACCACAGCTCGTTGGCATTAAGGACAGTTACATTGTTGCGAGGCCATTATCATCATTTCCATCAACTGTCCCCAGAACTCTTATCTTGTAAAACTGAAATGTTGTATCCATTAAACAGTAACTCCCCATTCACCCCACCCTCCAACCTCTGAAAACCAGTCTCTGTCTCCATGAATTTGACTATTTTATATTCTTGAATAACTGGAATTATGGAATATTTGTACTACTATGTCTAGTTTATTTCACATTAATCTCCTCAAGGTTTATTCTTGTTGCAGCACATAACAGAATTTTCTTCCTTTTAAAGGCTAAATAATTTTCCATTGTATTTATATAGCACAGTTTGTTTATCCATTCATCTATTAACGGGCACCTGGGTTGCTTCCACCTTTGGTCATTGAGAAAAATAATGTTATGAACATAAATGGACAAATATCTTTTCAAAACCCTTCTTTTGATTTTTTTGGATGTATACCAACAAGTGCAATTGTTAGATTATAAGGTAATTCCGCATTCAGTTTTCTGAGAAATTCCCTATAGTGGTGTGCCATTTTATATTCCCATCGGCAATGCACAAGGGTTCCAATTTCTCCACATCCTTGCCAACACTAACTATATACTGCTTTTTTAATAGTAGCCACCCTAATAGGTATGAGATGGTATCTTGCTGGGGTTCTGCCTGGCTCTTGAGGGCCTCTGTAATCAGCCTTTTTACAGGTCAGACCTTAATTCACAGTAATCCCCTGCCCGGGCCTTTCACTACAGCCAGGTGTAGAGGGAAAGGAACTTTCTTTCCACTCTATGAAGGTTTGATAATTTGAGTTTATAAAAGAAACTAACAAGGAAGAGATTAACAAAAGATTCAGCACACAAGCATGAACATATATGTGCAAGAGAGTCGCAGGAGGCATGCTGAAAGAAGGGCATCTTGATGCTCACATACCCTCTTTTCAGGAGAAAGGGAACTGGGGCTATAGGTAACTTTGGGGAAAGAGTGAATGATTTTAAGAGAGATTCCTACTCCCAAGAACATACAGTAATCTGGGACAAAGTTCTCCTGGCTCTGACTGGGCGTCACCTCTAGTCTTTGTTCTGCGAGTTCATCTTCTGGAGGACCTGCCTTCAGGTAGAATGGGGAACTTCAGAGACAGTCCTTCAGCAATTTGGGAGGAAAAGGGGTGGAGCTGGCAGGGAGGGGGCAGGAGAAGGACAGAGAGACCTCGGTTCTCCTTTAGCTCAAAGCATTTGGCCTGCCCATGTGTCTCACTTTGAGAGACCCTTTTCTGACCCCATGCAGAAAACACGTTAGACCACATGTGCCTTTCCCTGTCTGTCCCCCTCCTTCTTGAGTCTGACATATACCCTCACCTTCCTCTCCTCTGCATGTCTCTTAAAATCTTGTTCAATGCCCACCTCCTTCAAGGAGCCATTCCCCAGTCCCTCACCCCAGAACATGCCTCCCCAGAACAGACCCCTTGGGCATGAGGGTGACGTAGAAATGAAGGCAATTAAGATTCAGTAGATGCAGAAAGAAGCCTTCCCAGAGCCTGCACAGACCTTGCTCAGACCCTCCCCTCTGGTAGTTTCCTCCACACATTTACCTTCCTACAGAGTGCCACGTTTGGAAGTCCAAACCCCTTCTTCCTTTGTCTTTCACATCTGCTGGTTCTTTGTACAAAACAGTATGGAAGTTCTCAGGCCTATCTACTTCTTTGGCTCTTCACTTCCTTTCTAGAAAGCTCCCCCAGGGCACATCCAAACTAACATCAAATTAAATTCATGTGCTGTTGATCGTCCTTCTGTCCTGCTCATTTGCTGGGCACCACTCAGTAAATGTGAGAGCTAGAGAGGAGTCCCCTACTATTTACAGTTAAATCTGCCCAGGCAGGATTGTAGATTTCATTGTCAAGCCAGTAAGTGAATATGAATTTGCATCTTCTGATGAGTTAGCACATTATGGGCATATTTTGGACTCAGATGATACATGTTGATCAACTGTCATCAGAGGAAATCGAAACAGGTCAGAGTGTACATTCCAAATTTTCAATTATTATTTTGTTTCATCCCAGAGGAAAGACAGAGAAATTGAAAAGACATATCCTCAATTATTCAAAGTTACTTCAAAGAAGAATAAGGAGACGCAGAGCTAGATAGAAAAACAGGGGACAGATTCTAGTGCCTGAAAGACTCCGATGTCAGAGAGAGATGGGGGAGCACAGAAATCATCTTGATCTCTTTGTAGACTGAGATTTGGGGAAAATGAAATAGATACAAATGGGGAAAAGTGATCAGAAGATTGTTGTTGTGCATATTTCTTGAAAATTCAGATATTTTTGTGATGGTTTTTTTTTTTTTTTTTTTTTTATCTTTCCTTTCTCAAACTTTCCTAAAATTCTTGAAATGGCATGTGAAGCCATATTAAGGTCTGGGCAAAAAGAACATAGTATTTCCCGGTATATGCTGACAAAAATATTCTCCAATTTTGAACCAAATGAGATGAGTCAATAAACGTTCTATGATTTAAAACCATGACTCAGAAAACATTAACTTATAAACATCACATAAAGCCCCACGTAGTCCAATCTGCTGGCAGGCCAATGTCAACCATCATAAACCTACCCCCGCAGGGTGAACAGTACAGGCAGATGAAAAGGACTAATCCAGTTTCAAAGAACATAAGTGTGTAAAAGACCCACATAACAGTCTGTCTGCATTCAAAAGTGTGATGGTTGTTACTCATCATCAAATTTTTACATTCATTTTGGTCTTTTAAAATACTGCCTGATATTATTTCTTACCACAATTACTGGGCTTTGGGCCTCCCTTTGAATTTTGGGCTCCAGGCGAATCCCATAACTTCTCTCACCATAACCCCAGCCCCACCTTCAGGCAAGGATCCCTACATCCTGCTAGTCCAGGTCACATGTGGCTAGTTCATTTAGACTTTATTGGTTGGGCTTTTGAAACAGCCATAAAGCAGTTTTCGATTCATTTGATTAATTCTGATAGAATTGTCAAATCAGGCAGAGGAGTCAATAGTTCCTCTGTGAAATAAGGTCCCTTAATAACTTTCGGTTTCCTAGAACAACAGGGTGCCAACTAGTGCCTTTCTGATGTTTAATTGGCAGTTTAACGACTCATCTTGTTAAATACATATATTTCAGAAAATAGCCAATAAACTTAACTAGGCCTGAATGCTTCAATTAAAGGTCTTGGTTTACATTACATTAAAAAGAAAGAAAGAAAGTAAGCTCTTTTAGAAGTTGAATGAATCACCCGTGTAGAAGCTGTATTAGCTACCTGGCAGATCAATGGTGTAACTGTAGCCAAGTTGTTCTGCAGGTAAAAAGAGTTCCTCGTTGGTGACCGGAGGAAAGAAAGGAACCAAGTTATACATCCGATTGTGGCCAATGGGTGCCAGCTCCTGAGGCCAGGCATCCACAGGAGGGTTGTATCTTCTCATCCACTCATCAAAGATGGCGTCAGTAAAGGAATGGAGAACCTGCAAGACAGCACAGCATGGCATTTAACATGGAAGGGCCCATTCCAACTAACCTACCAACCGACTGGAGCTTTCTCCAAATGGAATAGAGCTCTTGTTGACCCGAGGAGCTGCTGTGTGCCCAATTCACCCTTAACGACAACATACACGCTGACATCTCTTACTGAGTTTTCAGGGATGGTGGACATCTCTCTCCAAACAGGATTGTAGACCCTTCATCAAGTGAACAAATGAAAATGTGTTGCAGATTTAATATTGGTTTGTGAATATTTGAGGCCTTCACCCCGGGTGTGTTGATTTTTAATTTCAGAAAAAAAATGTCAAGTATGATGAGATCTATACGCTAGTAAATATTCAAATGTTTTGGTTTAATAGGAAAGAGGAACAGGTGACAATATTACAGTTTTGTAATATAAAAAGATAGTAACAAGCAAAAAAAGAAAATCTTCATGTTTTTGAAATGAACTTTTAAATTTGCCTCATCAGGAACACCCCTTCATTTATTTTATAAATCCCTCACTTGGATTCTTGGTACTATGAAAGCAATAGGGAATCTAAAGATGTTGTAATGCAGACAGTGCTCATTTTTATTTTCTAAGAGAAGCTGTTAAAGTCCTTTTCAAATACAGCAATGATTAACGTGTTTTAAAATATTAACAGCAAAATCTCCACTTGTGCATCCCTGACTCTACAACAGGATGTAAATGCAAGACTCTGTATCTGGTGATTAGAGTTGGCAGACTGCAAGTTCATGGAGCTGAGGGAAGGTGGCTTCTTCTCTTTCCTCCTGTGCCCCAGGGATTGACACCCCAGGGCCACCACAGAAGTCCAACAGTTCTAAAACAACCATGCTGTGAGGAAGCCCAAACCATCCCCCGTGAGAAACCCCATGCAAAAAGTCCTGAGACTTCTGTATCATCTGCCACCACCTGGTGCAAGTACACAGACAGACCCAGGCGCATCCCATAACTTGTCTCACCGTAATCCCAGAACTGGCACCGCCTGGCCAAGCCTTGCTAGAACTTCTGACCCATAGAAATCATGAGAAATGGAATGATTCTTGATGCTTCGAGCCACTAAGTGTTGTGATGACCTCTTAAGTAACGAGAACTGTGGGGAAAGGCCTGGATACAGTCTCAGGCTCCAGCTCACTCTAGCATGTGCAGGGAAAGGTTTCTAGGTCCCCAAGGAGAAGAAGCAAGACTCCTCCAGTCCTCTAGGAATCAGAACCAAAATGGGAATTCAGAGGTGATCACTTAAGTCACATGGTAGACACAGACACAGGTGCGCACGGAAATTCCCAAGTTCAAACTTAAGGTAGATGGTAAAAATAAGAAGGTAGGTCAGTCTTTCTAAATGAGACAATTCCCGATGGCAATTTTGAAAAATGTTATCAAACTTGTTATTTTATGAAAATATTTATTTATCCTTCCTTTGCTCTACCAAGGATTTGAAGCAATATATAATCAGAAGGTGGCTTTCACATTTTCCTAAATAAGCCATATGTAATAGGCAGGAAATAGTTCAACAGCACACAGGCTTCTACTTAGCTGGCTAAGTTCTTTTACTGGGAACATTTTAGTGAGGCATGAGAAATTATCTCCAGCCTAGACTGAAAGCAGGGGACCTCTCCAATTCATATGTTGAAATCCTAACCCCAATGTAATGGTGTCAGGAGGTGAGGCCTTCGAAAGGTGAAGGTCATGAAAATGGAGCCCTTGCTTTCAGTGATATGAGGACACGGAAAGAAGAGGGTCCTTACCACACATCGAGCCTGCTGATACCTTGAGCTCGGACTTACCAGCCTCCAGAACTGTGAGAAATGAACATTTAATAAGCCACACAGTCTATGGTATTTGTGTTATAGCAGCCTGTGTGGACTAAGACACAATTGTGGGGGGAAAGGACATTTGAGCAGTAACAGTGTCTTCTAGGCAGAGCTCGGCAAAGATGGTTTGTTTGCCATTTTGCTCTAATTTTCTCTAGTCCCTATCTACACTCACTGAACCCTGAGCAGAAAGAATAGGAAGTATTTTTCCAGCATTTTGAAGGAGTTACATCTGAAACCCTCACTTCTTCTTAGATGTGTATAATAGCACTGTATCCAGATATACATACAAATGCATGAAATGTATACAACATACATTGCCCAAGATATATTATCATGTAGAAGAAAAATAGCCAGAGCACTAGAAATTTAGTTGTTAGTCCCTTGAAAAAGAAAGCCTTTGCTTTATGGATTAAACCCTGAACAGATACAAACAGAAGACTCCACATGGTTCTTCTGAGAGTGGGTCAACTTTAGAAGAAGGGACCCCTTCAATATACATCCATAAGCAACGTGGCAGGTTGAGGAGACAGAAGCAAAGTAATGTGAGAGGAGAATCTACCTGGAGGCAGAACTGTCCCCAAGCCACACTTGGCCACTAGATCATCAAAACTTTAGAAAGGATCAGTGCTAGAACTCTTAGATTTGTATATGAGTTGTGGCTTGCCACTTGTTCATGCCTTATTTCATAGATAATGAAGTGTACATAATGCATCTCTTAGCCCAAGCTTAGTTCTTCTCAGTAGAGTACATGTAAGGAAGATTATAAAGCCTAGAGTTGGAAAGGACATCTTCAGATGACATTTAGCACCTGCCAAATTAAAAAACAAAAACATCCCAGACTGAGCCCACAGAAATCCTGCCACCTGGAGTCCTTTCCAAACAGGTGGTCAGCCATCCTCTCTGATACCTCAGCTCTTCTAAAACTCACCAAGATGTTTGCTGCTCAGGAGAGAGTGGCTGCCTGTCTGTTACTTTAAAACTGCATATTTTTAAAAAAGTAAATAAAGCATTTAAGAAATGTAACTACATATAATAAAACCAGTGGCCTCATCTTTTCAAAAGCCATGAAAAATTATTCAGACCTACCCTTCTCCAATTAGTGTTAATTCTGATTAACATGATCTAACAGGACTAAATTATCCCAGCTATAATGAAAGCAATTGTGAAGAGATCAAGTTAAGAATTGTTTAAACTGACAAGAGACAAAATTGCTGTGAGAAGGCTGGACGAGGGGAAATGTATGAGTAGGAAACTTCTTACAGTCTCTGCTCAGCCTCTTACTGGATGGTGTGCACTTGAGCACATTTCTTAGCCTCTCTGGATTCTATTTTCCCCATATGTAAAAAACAAGGAGAGTACTTCACCATACACAGCTTTGTGAAGTTGAGAGATTAAATTTGCATTAAATTTGCACAGTGGCTGTCACAGAACAAAGGCTTAATAATATATATAACATTCTCCTAACCCTGAGCCTCACACATACTAAACACACACTTTCCACTGTCTACACCCCCAACCCCTAACAGAAATTCACTGAGCATCCACTACCTGCCGGGAGCATTTCTAGAGGTTGGATATGTTGTCAATGATCCCACTCACTTCCCACAAACTCATGAAACCCAGAAAATACATCTTTTATTATGACCAGATTTTTAGGTTTTCCAGGAAATAAGATATCTAAAGAGAATGTTGTATTTTGTTATTTACTTACATGGGGAACAAACCATTTCCACTAATTCTGACTCTATTAAATAGATTTTTGTTTTGTTTTTTCTTTTTCCAGAAGTCCTGATCCTACATGAACAGACAGACCACAAGAAAGGGAATGCAAACAGAATTTTTTCTTTTTCTGGTACTAGGGATTGAACTCAGGGGCACTCAACCACTGAACCACATCTCCAGCTCTATTTTGTATTTTACTTAGGGACAGGATCTCACTGAGTTGCTTAGGGCCTCACTTTTGCTGAGGCTGGCTTTGAACTCACAATCGTCCTTTCTCAGCCTCCTGAGCCACTAGGATTACCAGTGTGCATCACCACGCCTGGCCGCAAACAGAATTTGAAATGGATAAAATGATGTTGAACTTCACTTAGAAGGAGAGGAATGCACATTAAAACTCACAGAGGTACCATTTTACCTGGCAAAGATGAAAAGGTAGGATAACTAATAACAAAGATCCTAAGAGTGAGGGAGCTGTGACTCTGATGTACATGTGTGCAGAGGGTAGGTCCTTTGCCTTTGGGAGGCAATTCTAGAACATCCATCCAATATCAGGCATATTTATTTGCCCCTCAACCCAGGGACTGCATTATTTTAAAGTCCAAGGTTATTTGTTGGAACATCATTTGTAAAGTAAAAAAATCAGAAGCCACTAAATGCAAGCTAGAGGTGTTGGGACTTCAAGAGGTAATTAGGTCATAAGAGATCCACCCTCATGAGTGGACCATGCTTTCCTCATAGCCGTGAGTTTGTTCTTACTCTCAGGGAGGCTGGATTATTTATTGTGAGAGTGTGTTTCCCCCCGCCTCAGCTCTCTTAAAACATACTTCTTTCACATCTACCAACTTGCCTTTCATTTTTTGCCATGAGTTGACTCTGTATGAGGCCCTCATCAAAAGCCAAGCAGATGTCAATGCCATGTTCTAGATCTCCAGAACTGTGCACTAAAAAATCTCTTTCCTGTTAACTGACCAAGCCTCAGGTATTTTGTTAAAGCAATACAAAATAGGCAAAGACAATGCCCAGCAATAGGAGACCATTTAAAAATTTCAGGATAAATCCATACAACAGAATGTCATACAGCTGGGGGGCAGGGGGGAGGCAAAAAGAAAACCCTTAATGAACTGTTACAGGGATCTATAATTATAAATAAATAGATAAGGAAGGCACAGAAGTATCTATGGTATGCTCCATTTTAATAAGTATGTAAACCTCTTTGCTTCTGTATATATAAAATACATCTGGAAGATTAGAGGAAAAATTATAATGGGTCACTGGAAGATAGTAGTGATACAAGGACTTCATTTTTTGAATTCTCATGTGAATTATCTATTGAAAAATTTTGAGATTAAAAAACTTAGGGAAGATTGGAAGTGTATCTCAGTGATAAAAAGGCTTCCTTAGCATGCATGAGCACCTGGGTTCAGTCCTCAGCACCAAAATTGAATAA